CATTATCAAGAAGAGCTATGTACAAGCGTTGCTTGTAAACCATTTTCAACATACAGATAAAGAAATCAGATGATTTTGTATCGTTTTTTTTTATCTCGCTGCCGCGATAGTTACCGTTAGGAACTGTTAAACGGTTAATCATTTTTTTTTCAAAAGGCAATTGTTTTCAAGCAGTCAGTGAAATATTAAGCAAAGCAAGAAAACAAAGAATCAAAATCTTAAGATCAATTTTTAAAATTTTTACAGAAATCGATGAAAAATTAAGAAAAATAATTTAAATACGTGGTGTGAAATTTGGCATAAAACAAACACTGTAGATAGAGAAAAAGTGTTGTCCTTAATAAATTATTTCTTGTCATTACGCAATTTTTTTGTCAAATTGTTAGCAGCAGTCGTTTTTAGTTGTTTCTAGAGAAGTTGTCAACTCATTAGAAAATTGATAAATTTTCTAATTTTTTTATACCTATTTGTAAACAGTTTGCTAACTGATATGCCACCTTTTCTCGTAAACTTTTATTATCAGGTGGAACTGAAGGAGAAGTTTCAAGGCGGATAAATGAAGTTTTCACGACTGTTACATCAAAAACCGACGTTTATATATTTATTCTGAAAAAGAATGGTGTGGTCGACCATATTTCCAACAATAATTCTAGTTTTCTTCAGTCTGCTTCGGTATTATTCAGTTTCTTTTACTAAACCTTTTTTTTGATTTATATTTACTAGCTATCTTATTGTATTGACAATAGTGATAAAGTGTATTTACAGTGTAGTTTTAAGAAGTTCAAAGTAGCGCTGTTAAAATTCAAAATTTAGTGAACAAAATTTTCAGGCCTTTTCAAGTCAGTCGTCAATTTACGACTTTGTTGCCGCGTCGGATCGAAAACTTTTTAGCGACTTTTTTCGGGCTGATTGTAGTAAGCAGTTATCTCTGTTCTTTTCTTTGGTTAACTGTTAGGTCAGAAACGAACAAAAAAAAGCAATATTACCTATTAGCAGAATCTAACCTTATCCATTCAGCTGCCTAATGACTGCATTGGCCATTGTCGCAAATTGATTTTGAGGAGCGACGAATGCAATTAAAACGCAAAAAGACTGTTTAATTTTTTTGTAAAGCTAAATAATTCGTGGCTCTGATATTCAAATATGGTTTCGCTGAAGTATTAAAAGAATTTTTTTATAATCAAAATACGATAAGAAGAACGAAAAAGCAAAATTTTATTTGCTAATTATCTTGAATTTCTTACTAGAACCTTCTCTACCTTTAAAAATCTCGGTTATTTCTCTAAACATTTTGGTTCGTTTTGCGCTGTTTACAGTACATTAACTGACGGTCAAAACTACGTCAAATGTATTATGTTCTTTATAATATCAATCCTGTCTACTCTGAATAAAAAACGCTTTTTCAGAATGCTTTTTTTTTATTTTACGTTATTTTATTCGTTTACTTATCTCGTTTCTTAAAGACCAATTTGCGATAAAAACATTCCGATGTCGTATGCTAAATCTGAAACAACCAACATTTGTGGGTTATGCAGATTATGAGGTAACTTTTCTTCAATTTTTTTCATACTTCTGTTCATTTTAATTTACCAAAAACTTCTATTAATGGCTACAGTCTAATCAATGACTTCTAAAAGGTGATATCATACACTTGAAATAGCTAGAAAAAATAGAGGTTTTCGCAGCTTCTTTTCTTGTGTTTTTTGCGGCTATCTCTTAAAAAAACTAGTAAGGTTTTATCAAATTTTTGCTGCGGTTAATACGCATGTTGAATCATTTCTTAAGCTGATCTGTTATAACATATCTTTGAGCTGTTTCTGCCTAAACTACGTGTAAAATTTATTTACAGTAATTTGATTAAGGTGTATGCTGCGCAGATTTTTGAATCAAGATTGTATGAGAAAAATTTTTTGGAAAGTTCTTCGGTTATTCCAGGTCTGTACACGTAATAAGTGTTTATTATTATAAATTCACGTAGTTTATTCGAAATGATTTTACAACTAGAATTTTCTAGTTGGTTTTAAGTACATTTTGAAAACAATTGTTCTTAATAATTGTTGTTTTCAATACTGGCTTAAAACAACGCAGGTGGTAAATTAATTGCATTAATTATCATTTGCAGAAGTGAGCTGTGCACTTTGTGTTGCTCGGCTGTTTGACCTATCACAGACTGCTGCGGTTGATCAGAAACCTCATCTAAAATTTACCGTAAATGCATCTATGGTTATCATATCTGCGGAGTCTAGGTAAAGACATTTTGTTTTATTTTTTTTCTTCTTTTCTTCTGCAGTTTCTTTTGCATCGTTTATCTGTTTTTGGAGGTGTTGCTTCGTAGCAAGCATTCTTTGCTCTATTTACAACAATATGATTATTTTTTTTACCTACAGTAACAATTTTTTCCTCGCTGTTTCTGTCTTCTCTTTACTTTGTTTCAATTTTAAATTTTATCATTATTTTTTTCTATGAGTTTTAATAATAATTTTTGTACAAAACTGTAATAATAAATTTGTCAGTCTAATAGTTGGGTAAAAATTTTGTGTTTTTTTGCTTGTTGACTTTAGTGTCGTAATTAACACATATGTCTCTTAAAGTGGTTTTCTGCAAGAAAAATTTTTTTTTTATCTTTTTAGGAACTTAAATTTTGATTTTCAACAATCTGATATTATCAACTGCAACATTAAAGATCTTTGTATAGGCGACGACAGAATAATTGTCGAGAGACTTAGCGAACTTTGTAAGTGAAATAAAATTTTGCATTGCATTGGCTTCGGTTATGATTTCATATTTCGGTGACCAAAATTGAATCTCTTTATTTTTCAAAATCTTATAAATGTTTTTTTACCAACTGCTTTATTATAATTCCATGTTGATTATTGATGATATCTTCGTCAAAGAAAAGGAATTTTTTTAGCTCTCTCTCACAGTCCTGAGATTCGGCTACAGATCAATAATCACTTGGTGCAATGTAAAATTCGAGTTCTGAAACATTTTGACACTGAGAGCGTGATGGTTTTGGGTTGTTACATCGATAGGTTAGTTTGCTAACAGAAAAAAAATAACTTTTTGGTTGTTCTTTCATAAGTTTTTAATTTGAAAAACATATTTAAGAGTAGTCCTAAATTACAAAAGATCAAGAAGTGACGGGAGCGACGAAAACCTGAAAGTTGTAAGTAATGAATACCGAGTTGATTTGACAACTAGTATTGCTGATTCGACGTCAAGTAGCTATGACAATCTTCCATCATTATCGTTGTCAAATACTAATGTAACAATCATCTCTCATTTCTTCTGTTTTCAAAACAAAAAAGAAAGTTTATTTTGGGTGGCAGCGGTTACCGTCTGAAAAAAAAAAAAAAAAGATATAGTCGTCTTTAACTACAGAACAAGGAAAAAGGCACTGATGCTCTTTCTCGACTATGCACAACGATTTTTTCGGAACCAGATTCTGTTTGCGAGTTTGAGTCACAGGTGCCAGACTCAAATCTTGGGCAGTTTTCTAACTCGCGGCAAACAAACTCACCGACATTTATGTACGGCAATGAACAAGTAATGTTCTTGTTAATTGTGTAAAATATAAGTGGATTTTTGTTTGAATCGGGTATAAAAAATAATTTTTTTAAATTAAAGGTTTTCTTGCTGTTGTCTTTTGTTTTTAGGGTTACTCTGTGTCTTGTTCTGGTGACGCAACCGACAGTGTGGCTGGAGACGAAACGACTGTGGCTGTCAAGGCAAAAAAGTTCAGGTGAGTTTCTACTCAATGGCATATCCTGATTTATATTTTTACACCTTTTTTTCAAAGGTTTCTTGAAAACTGAAGTCGAAAAAGGAAGAGATAAGGTGAAAAATCACGTGTGAAGATTTATGTTATTTTCTGCAGTTAATAGTTTCTTAATTAATTTATGAAAATATTTCTAGTTAAAAACTTTAGAATACAGTTCTAGTAGCAAGGATGCGTTTCTAGTCCTGCCAGTTTCTTTCCTGGATGTTGCATGAATATAGTTTTAGGCGATCATGGCAGCCTAAACAGCGATTGTTAAAGCAACGTCAGAAAGCAAAAAAGAAAAATTGTGCAACTGAGATTTTTCAAGAACCTTCTGTAAGGCCGCTGGATATGCAATATGCATCTGTTGCTAGCTCGTCTGGAACTTCTGGTCAAAATACTTTGTTGAAGGTGAAGCAGTAATATTGACAATTAAGTTGTGCACTTGTTTAAACATTTGTCAGAGTATAAGTCCTTCTTTTCAAAAGTCTTGCTTTAGACACTGTTACAACCGTGTCCGGTAGAGAATGGCACTGTTTCTTATTCAAATGTGATGATGACAGGAAACCAAGGCGTTTGTTCAAAGCAATTTCTTCTTGAAAATAATACGTCATATGCTGCCCAAGGACCGGCTAGTGGGTTTAGTAAACCCTGCTCTTTAATAAGGTAAGTAATGAACTCATATTGTGCGTTTTAAGCTTTTAGTGCCAACTTTGTTTTTATTTTGCCATTTACAGCACGTTGTTCAATTTTTGATTTGACAGATTATCAAATAAAGAGAATTATGTTTGTTAAATGCTATAAAAGACTAAAAACTTTTTTGGTTTTAATTGTTATAGAAGTTGATATAGAACATTTTTCAAAATTTTTGTTTGATCACTAGTGGTCGAGTTTTTTAAAAATTTGAAAGACACCTAGTTGCAGCACTGAATTTGCTTTGCTACAAAGTGCTTTTCAAAAGATATTCTCCACCTGTGATCAGTTCATTCGCACTTCAGTGTTTTTCATACTTTTTTCTTTTGCTTAGAAAGCATTAGCAAGCATTACAGTGACTGAGACTAAATTTTCAGTAGCACCTGTAAACAGAAAAAGTCGTCAATTTGCTTCTGTCGATTTAGTTCTGATAGATACAATTCAAAGCCTGTTTATTACTTTCGTTATTTACTCTATCTACTGCGTTCTAATTATCAATCAACTTGACAGCGGAACGGCTAGTTTTTGACAAAATAAAGCTTGTGAAAAGCATTTTTCTAATGAAAAGTAGTTTTAATTTCACCAGTATCATAGAAAATACTTATGACAGACTTTCTTTATCCTTTTTAGTTTTGGAGCTTTTATGGAGATATTTCTAAGACAGTTGTATTACTGTTATTCCTATAGTTTTAAAATAACAAAAAGAAAGCCACTTTTAAGCTAGAACTATTCATGCTCATATGAAAAAAACCTTGTAGTAAATAACCCTGGATTTTTTGTCGGAAAACTTTGATATTTTTAAAAAACATCTCAAGAAATATAATTCTTCAGAGGCAGTCATCCCAAGTTAGTTCATTTCAGAGTCGCGTACATCAAAAAAAGCCTCTAATAGAATTAACGTACTCGTTAGTAACAATAAATTATCAAATTCTTTCTACTCGTCTATACAAACAAAGCTCTTATATTATTATTTATTTGTTTCGCGTTTAACGAGAAAAGTAGTTCAAAGTTACCAGTACCACCAAATCACAATCACTTCTTAAATTTTCTGACGCTAAGGTTGCAGTGAAGAAAGTTGAGTAGAATGAGATGAAGTTATAGTTAAAAGTTAATGATCAGTAGAAGCTAAACCAAATAGTAGTTATCGTAACTGTAAAAGGGAGAAAAAGTTGAATAATTTGAGCTTAAAAAGAGTTCAAGTGCAATGTCGAACAAAAAAAGTATAGCAGAAGGGTGTTGTACTGAGTGGATGGAGTATAGGGGATATTCCTGTCAACTGCAGGTGAAGGCAATCATCAAAGTTTCTGCATTCAAGCAATTACAAGAAAATTGCTTAAACGTTTCCCTTGTGTTATTCTTTTTTAGTAGCATTACGTATGCGGCGCATTTATCATTGTGCCATTATCTGGAAGAGTCACATCAGTTTACTGCTGTCGTTACTTTATTTAACAAGCTTTTCCTCCTTTTTTATACCAGTCCAGATATGACATCAGCAAGACGAGGGGTAAGAATAGACAGCTGACATTTACCGATTTTTGGCTACATGTGACCTAATTTCAGTGAGACAGTTAATGAGAAGCCATCAAAAACGTCTGCTGTGTCACACCAGCCTTTTCTGATTTATCAAAGTTCTGTCAGTTCACCGGTCACAGCAATGCAGCCAAGTAGCTGTGAAACAATTGCAGTATCTGATGTTGCCACTCAAGGTGTTTTGCCAGGCACGATGAATAGTGCTTATACTATTAGGACATCGTCTGCGCTATGGTAAACTATTTCTCAGTTATACGGTGCAATCAAAAAAAAAAAACACTATTTTCGTAATAAATTCTTTTTCATTTCATTTTCATTCTTCCATCTTTTCTCTTTGCCCATCTTCTTTCCGGATACGGGAGAATAATCTACTTGAGTATACCACGCAGGTACTTTACAGAAAACCTAAGGTTTATCTCTATTAAAGGCTTTTTGGAAGCCTAGTGAAAGCAAGATGTTGGCTATAGCGAAGGGAATGAAACGTGTCTCGCCAATTGCTAACGACTAAGAACGACCGTATTTTCCCGATATTGCTTCGCGTTTGCTGTTTCTTTTCAGAGTTAAAAGTGCAAACAGCTACTTGACGGAACTTTTTAAAATTTATTAGACTGAACTCTTAGAAAAAAAAAGAAACCAAACTCTCTCTACACCAATGAGAGCGTTATAAGAGCGAGTATACCAGTAATGCTCTCCAAATTGAGTGTCCATACATATACAATTAAAACCTCTTCTAACTATGGTGACATTCAGTTAGTCTGCCATTTCCGTGAATTGCAATTAGCGGTGTTCTGAGCTCTCAAAAGTTTGGTGGTCCAACGTCATTTCTTTCACTTTTGGCCACGTAGTCATAGCTCAGGTTTTCTTTTTCCATCTAGAGTTCGATCTTTCTAAGCCCTCTTTTTTGCTGTTAAACAATTTCTTACGTTAACGATAGTGTGCAGAAAATCCAAAACGACTGTGTAAAATAGTTTTGTGAAAAGGTAGAGGTTCTTTTTTTAGGACTTATACGCTTGATTCCAAAATTGAGTTTTTGTCATTACTTGCCCGTGTCATTGTTTTGACATTTTTTGTGAGTATAAATACACGCAGTCTTTGTTGCCACTATTTAAACCTTTGAGACGAGCTAGACTTTTTTAATAGATGGATTTTGCTATTATTGATCTTTTATTTGCTTGCTCTTTTTCCTCATCTATTTTTCACTAATTCGTTTTGGGCAGTGCGGACTTACAGCAGAAGTCCGCAAGGCTTCTTAATAGAGGCAGATACTGTTGAGCCGCGTCGCTGGTGTTACCGTGCAGTACGATTACTTGTCGAGGCTTTTTTTTAAGAGAAGAATGTAGATTAGCAAACTTAAAGCTCTGACTTCTAGGTCATGATGTTTCAATGTTTTACGGTGCTATCAGAATATATTTGTTAAGTCTCCCCTTTCATTTTCAGCGTTTTCCACTAGAAATACTTCATTTCGTGTGCATGTTTTTTCAATAAAACTGCATTAGAAACCTGAATTATACCACTACTTTCTTTTCACAAGATTAGTCCTCCGCCATACTGTCTTCCTAATCAGGAACCAGCAAATCATTTTAGAACTTTTGGAAGCTCGTTCTACTAGCACCTCCTGTTGTTCTTGTTCTAGTAGTCATCAACGCTATTTCCGTTTGCTGACAAAAGCTACAAACTTTCACCAATTTGATTGCACTGACTTTTGTCTGAGACTAAACTTTCTGGCAGGTAAAGATGACAGTATTTAAATCGCCTTGTGCGTTGGAGAGCAGAAGTGGAGAATGTGTATAAGCGAAAAAGCAAAGAAACAGTTTCTCATACATACTTTTTCGGGTCTAGAGCTTGCGTGCCTACGTCACTGTGGATATTGTCTCTGTCTTCAGTTCCTAAATTCGAAAACACAGTAACACACCACTGTTTTCTCACTGAACAGTGAAATCATTTTACCAATACTTACTGCAGCTCTAAACTGATTAAAAGCCAGAAACGTTGTAAGTTAATTAAGAGCGATCTGATGGCTTACCGGAACTTTTTTCGCTAAATATTTTATTATGCCTTTCATAAGTAGTGAATTTCTGTAAAACAAAAAGAAAAGATAGTTAGTTTAATGAGAGAAAAGGTGGAAAAAACAATAAAAGCTGCTTTAAAATGTTCAGTAGTGCCAAACTTTCATTTGAACTGATTAATGCCACCCCTGTTTAAGAAACTGTTTTCTCTGAAGAACTGCATTGTTAGTATTTTTGCAGCCAGGAACGGGTGTTCTCTGGCAACGTTAATAGTTTGCTGAACCAGAGCCCTGTCGTCGTTTTTCGAGAACAACTACAGAACTCTCCAGTGACTGCATCCGAATCTGCCGGCCAAAATAGCGGGAACACTATCATGATTCCACAGAATCAACAACTTATGCAAACCGGTCAAATGTGGGCAACACCAAGAGGATCTTACATCTACCGTCAACCACGGGTTTTCCAATGCATTTTTACATTTTAACGCACTGTAACTTGCATCCTCAATAAGATTTGACTCATTCCCTTCTTGGATGTACAGCGCGTTAGGTCCTTTAGAAAAATTATGTTTCAGCTTTCATACGTTCAGCAGCAGTATAATGCAAATCAGGAGGTACGAGTAATTCCAGTAGAAAAAATACTTCATAGCAGCCATATTCTGCAACAGGAGCAACCTTGTAAATATTCACAACTCGGCGTTTCCCCTTATACACCGTACGAGGTAATTTTTCTTTCACAGTTGAGCTTAGAAACTGCATGAGCACCAACGTCAATTTCCTTCAAAAGGTATTTTTAATACCGTTATGGTCATTAGGATACATAAACGTTTCTGACATTTTACATTTGAAGGGTTATAATGTGTTTTATTGTCTAACAGTTTAACTAGTAGTCTTCTAAAGTCTCAACGTATTATTATAACTGATTTGCGTTTTCCAAACCGGATGAGTCACATTTTCATATTTTGTCACTCTCTAACGTCTCTGAATAAAAACTGTTTATAGTAGTAATATTAGCTCTATCCTGAGGCTTTCAGCAATTCCCTTCCTCATATTACCAACCATCTGAGCACTGTACGACAATGGATAACTCGTGTGATCGGTTTGTAGCGTTGGTCTAAAGCTCATTTCAATTGTGCTGATGTTCATAGTATAATATAAACCACCTTAAAATTCTTTCAGAATGACATTATTTTGATTAGGATAAGCTGTTTCGCTCTTCAGCTACGAAACTGGCGCCTGCATGCCGCAAGTGGCAGCGACAAGAAAATGGCCAAAGCGTCCAAGCTTTAATACTGGTCGTGTGAGGATGAGCATACGGCTACCAGTGAAGGTTAAGCAGCGGAGTTCTTCCCACACTTCTGCCTTGATTTCTACTGGTAAGAAAAGTCGGAGCTCTTTCAGTTTGATCTCCTCACTTTCTTCACAGCCAATGAAGCCAATGAACACTAACCGTAACATGTGCCTCTGTTTCATTACAACCAACAGAAGCAATGTGGCCACCAAACTGAAACAGAGCTGAAAAGTCTTGGTTTATTTGGTTTTTTTTAAATTACGGTGCTTTTAGAAACACTTGCTTATTTTCCTTCGTCATTTCTGCGTCTTAGAGCTTTATAGTCATTTCTTAAGTAAAAATTTTTTGGTGTTTATTCGCTCCTTCAGAGATGATGCCTTCGGTGGAAGTGCCTTCCGTTCAGTCTACAGTTTCCGTTGGACAGAAGGCTGCAGAACAAAATATGTTTGCGCTGGATATTTCGCCGCATGAACCGACTGATCCAAATCTTGGTAGCGATGCTACGCATCCGCTTAACTCTGCTTTTATGATGCCCATTGAACTTTACGACTTCAACTTGGGCAACGGTCGGGTTGGTGCTAAAAAGCTAAAAGTTTGAAGTTTTTGCAGCTTTTTTTGCTAATAATCTTTACAACTTCAAGAACAGAATTAAATTCACTGAAATCGCTACTCTAATTCTTAAAAACTCGCTTCAGTTCGATATGGACAGCGATGCAACCAGAAGTTTGGTTAAAAAACTGCTCAGCTGATGTGTAGTCCTCAATTTGGTCGTTAAAATAACGATAAGTGTCCTGGTCAAATTATTTAATAATGTTTTATACAAATCACTCACGAAAAAAATTCTATGTCTACAGTGCGACGGCTTTTAGTTGAAAAAAGGTAGCCTACTACTACTGAGTCATGTCAACAGTACAAACAATTCATAGCTGGAAGAACATATTAAAGTAAAAAAATTTATTGAACAATTTTCTGTACCGTCGATTCCACATTTATTGTTCACTATAACTTTTATTTTTTTCAAGAACCCATAGCTAACGTTTTAGCAGCAAAAGACCAATTTACAGTCCCTATACGTCGCAAACAAACTAGTTATTTTATGGTTTTGCCTTTCACTATTGAAAATTTTTCCTGTTTATTTTGTAATCGAATTCTAATCAAACTCTTTCGCACAATCTTGGTTTGTAAAAAACCCAGCAATTTTCCTATATTTTTAACTTAAAAAGGCGTTACCGTATACACATGTGATACTGCCAAAGCTGTAACGGTTTCGCTACCGCCCTTCATTTAGCTTTCCACGGTCCCTGCTACAAAGTAGCTTTTAAAAAATACAGCAGTCAGCAGTTGCCATTCTCTTCCTCCTAATTCTCCTCCGAGAGACTACAGAACGTTCCACAATTGTAAACGCTCCCCCGTTAGCCTCCAGTCTTTGTCAGCTCTTAACGACCCATAAGCTAATAGTTACTTATAGTATGGCAAGGCTCAATACATTGTACTCTCATGGAAAACTTCTAGAGTTTACTCGTCATGAAAATACGCAATTTCTCCTATTGCTGTTTTTCTGTAAAAAAAAAAATGATCTCGCCTAGCCAGCAGTGGCACGTTATGTGGCTCCAGTATGTAGTCTTCAAGAAGAAATGTACTGTTTTGTTATTACAAAACTTGGAAATACCCTGGTTCGTTATTAAGATAAATGTCCTCTAATATTTATGTTAAGCAACGACTCCACTCATCTCCGGTATTTGAAATCTCCAAAAACTTATAGGCAAACCAGAAACGGTAATTTTCGTCAGTACCGCCACCGTCAACAACTTCTGACCTGCGTTGTCCTATCACCTTGTTATTATAATACTGTTATTACTCTGAGAATTTTCAATAAAGCCTAAAATTTTATTTCTGAAACAGCTGCAACAGAGTACGACCACAGTTTACATCATAACTGCTTATTTCCAAGAAATAAAATTACATTTGACCACGTAGTTGGCTTTGCAACTGTTCTCAGGCTGATTATGTGTAGCACAACAAAACACAAGTTCTGTTAGGAGCCCTTCCAATATTTCCTATCGTACTTTTTTAAACGTAGATATTCTGGCAAACCTTGCTGCCACGTGAAGCAACTTCTGTGCTGCTATAAAAGCTTGTTTGAAATTGAAGATTTGTGGTTCAACTCCACTAAGGTCCCAGCAATCAAAGTATACTTATAACTTATCATTTCGCTTTGCCACCTAGCTAAGTTTCCATGCCGTACGGTAAATGTTAAGAAGCGGTTCGACATAACTGTTTATAATGCAGTTCCTTATTAGGAGAGAGGATAAGGTTTACTACTGTTCCCTAAAAATGAGTGCCCAGTACCTTGTCCCGATATTAAGGGAAAGGCTCCTCTCATCTCAACAAATAAACCAGTTTTATTTCTCAGGTCAAAAGATTGTGTTGAGTTCAATTTTTTCTTCCCATCTTTGTCTAAACCAATGAGTATGGAAACTGTAATGAACTCAGGCCCCACTGACAAAAACCATTGTCTAAAAATATACTCCTCTTTGTACCCAACAATCTTAAAGCTAAATGTTAAAACATCAAAAATAGCTTCTATTCCTGTTCCACAAACTCCAATCTCGTCCACAATTGTTCTAACCATCTCAAACTCCTGGGATTTGTACTAAAAGACAGTAAAATGTGACTTAATTCTGTTTCTGGGTCACTTTTAGCTCCTGACTTTTTATCCATTTTCTGCATAAAGCCATTTCTCTGCATAGCCCTTTTATCGCAACGTTTTGCAAGTTTCATAACTTTACCAATAAAAGCCACTTTCCTATTTAAAATTCTTGAAATCTGCCTAGATACATTTAACTTTTCGGGGGAAAGAGAACATTTTCGTAACCGAAAAAACATGAACATGTGGGTCATCTATTAATCTTCCCGTCTAAAACAAATTGGTATTTCAAATGAATTTACTCCAGAACTAAAAAGGTTATATCTCCCATAGCAGAGCATTCTTTTAAAAACACCACTCACTGCAACACGATGATTCGGACGCTGGAAAGTTAGAGTACGAAATGTGTTTACGGCACTCACTGGGGTTTCTATTTGCAAATTAACTCCAAGTTTTGCCGCAACTGAGTGTTTCGGCGCATGCTACTTTAAATAAACTTAAGTTTAAGACAGCTAAAAGGTCCTGACCATAGGTCGCTTTTTGTGTATTTGTTTCCATTTTCTACAGCATTTGCTGTTTCTGTGCTTCATTGTTTATTTTTTTTTAATGAAAGCAAAATTTCTTCTTTAAAAAATACAGGGTATTTTGCACCATCAAGATTTTTCTCATGACACCTAGACCGGTTCTGGGAACTTCTTCGCATTTTCAATTTGTACGGTCGCTGATGTGCTCATAAGACAGCCCACCAAATGCGGTACCTTAAGTACAAGTCCCGCATAGAGATGACGTGTTCCTTTTGGATGAAAATACAGGTTGAAAGCTACCCTACTGTAGCTTTTAAGACTAAGCATTACTCCTGACTCTTTTTTTACTTTCAATTACTTTCTTCCTCAATATCGTGCATTTCTTTATAAAGCATGAAAAATGCGCTGTTTATTGTGATCAAAGTGTTTAAGGGAGTTTTGTGTAAGAATATTAAACTTTTTATCGGTAGCTGCTCAAACCCAGCCTGCTATTATTACCTACTGTAATCTGTTGAGACCAACCACCGGCGCTTAGCGAACGGAACAGTGACAAAGATTACGTTACCAATTTTTAATTGCCATTTTTACACGTAATCAACGTCAAATGTTAAATATAAGGTCTAGTGGGTAGCTCATATTTCGTACTACCTAAGCAAATGCATACTACTGGGGAACAAAAAAACACTTACAAATGGTGTACATTGCTAAAAAAAATGGCTGTGGATGAATGCCTTTCAACCTGTAGTTTCACCCAAAAGGTACGCATCATCCTCATATGGGTTTTATGCCGAACATAGTGCATTTTCTAAACTATGTTACTTGCGCTTCCGCGCCCACGATCGTACAGAATGAATATATGAATAACCTTCTAGAGTCAGTTTAGGCAATATGCGATAAAAGAACCTAGAGATCTCACGAATGGCCTTGTGATTGTGCAAGCCGCCTTATTTGCACCAAATCATAAATTAAGCGTGAAACTGCATGTGATTGTAAGATCTAAAAAACACTAACACGCACTCACAAAAGAGACAATTTTGAGGAAGACTTCGGCCCAACTCACAGCATCCCGCTGAAGCCAATTTTAGAGTTGATTTAGGAATGAAAAAACTCACGGCAAGAACAGCAACAGATTTGGTATTCTGAGCGTATCAATTTCCGTACAAAAAAAACTTCTGCACTATGCCGTTCTAGCACTTGATCAAATAAGTGACGTCTCAGTGTTCAAAGAGCACAAATTCCGGAGCAAGGTTCTTCCAAAACAAATTTTCCAAGGCTACCAGAAACGTACCTTCTTTTTAAGTTTATTCAAAATGAGGTTGTCCCCTTGCGGTCTTTAAGATTAAAAAATATAAAACATCAGAATTGTACTACTAATCCATTTACACAATCGCGTCGAGAACAAGCAAAAAGAAAAAAAAAAAAAACTAACTGCAGACACCTCAAGCTGTTTTGACTTTGTAACAGCCGTGGTGCAGTGCGACAAAACGCGCTGCGTATATTTGATGGCGGATTTTTGGAACACTAAACGAGATAGATTTATAGCATATTTCTAGAGGTCTAAAAGGTCAGGGGAAACAGAGCGTCCTTAGGGCTTTTTCTGACTGAATTTTTCAATCTCTAAAAAAAAAAAAAAAAAATTTCTGTTCAGAACCGGTAAAAAAAAAAGAGACAGAACTGCAAACTGCTATACGTCAGCCATCATTTGATGGAAATAAGTGCATCAAAAGCCTATAACATAAATAATCTTGAATGATCTAACGTCCGTGAGATCGATAAAAGTTTGAAGATTTTAACATCACAGTTGCTTAATAGCCTGCATTTTCCTGAAGCAGTAAGAGCAAAGAAAAGTAGTTCTTTGAAAATTTTAGCAGTGACCGTCGCTGCTCATAGATCAGCCATATTTATATATTCGCCTCACCATCACTTTTCCGGAATGGTTTTTATACAGTGACTTCTGTTTGTACCTTCGAGGTATAACATTCAAAAGAAAAATAATGGTAGCCAACAGCCGTGAGCATAAGAATGTGGATAAAGTGAAACAAAAAACGAAAAAGCATCAATTTCTGCATGTTGATGACTATCTCGGCAAGTCTTAATTCTATTGCAGGAAGAAGAACAGCAGTGAGGTGTCATACAATTATGAGACCAAGACAGTGCAAATAGTTTTTGAACATTCACAAAAAAACGAATTTTTAAACCAAAGTCAGGTGCTGCTGGCAAAAAGATCTAGGTGAGATGTTAATAAACCAAATAAACTTTCGAGAGAGCCTAGCACTTCTATTCACGGAGAAAATGGTGCAAAACTATGTAGAAAAAGTGAGTCCGATCTCGATGGCTCATTTCAACAAGTTAGAAAT